AACAGCCCAAGGGACAGAGCAGTAACCACAGTGGGGTGGGGTGGAGGACTGAAGGCTTCCTGGAGGAGGCGATGTCAGAACTCACTTTTAAAGGAGCATTAGGGAGGGAGGGAGACAGGCAAAGCTCAAAGGGGAGCAGGTTATTATGGGTAAGTACAAGGGAATTTCCCTGGGTTGATAGGAGCTTGCATTAGGGATTGATGAGGACAAAGTCCAGAAAAAATAAGGGGTACAGGGGAACATCCTTCCAAGCAAAATAAAATAACAGAAAACATCAGAGCTTTGATTACATCAACATTTAAAACTTCTGTATAACAAAAACACCATAAATAAGTTAATGCGACCAACGGTCAGCTGAGAAGAAATATTTGCAACAAACGATAAAGTGTTACTATCTAGTTTATAAAAAGTGTTCCTAAAAATCAATAGGAAAAAAAATACCCCCCAATATGTTCAATAGAAAAATGAACAGCAGATATGAATCAACAGTCACTGAAGATAAAGTACAAAAATGCTCGATATGAAAAGATGTTGAACCTCACAAGTCATTTAGGGAAATGCAAATTAAAACAATGCAATATTTTCACCTATCGGATTGGCAAACATCAGATTGCTAACACCCTGGGTTGGCAAGTGTCAAGGAAATGACATTCTCACATTCTAATGACATCTGTGGGCCAACCTGGGTGGAGTCAGCAATGCCTGGGGGGCGGGGTGACTTGCAGGGGTGGAGAATCCCAGGGCTGAGAAGGAAACAGCCTAGCCCCTCCGTGCAATTAGAGCCTTCCTTCTGCTCCATGGCGAGGTGAGACGGGAAATAGGAATCCCTGTCAGAAGGAACCTGCCCTTTCAGGTTTGCGAGCAAGGGTCAGTCAGGTCCCTCCTGCTGGTGGGAGAATTTGCCTGCGAGGGCTTTTGCAGCAGAGCGGCAGTGAGTCCCCGAACGGCAGCACCTGAGGTGGCAGTTGCGTGGTGGAGAACCCGGAAGGCTTGACTTTGACGAGGATTAGAATGACTGGGTTGTACACCTGAAACTACCATAATGCTGTATGTCAACTGTAACTGAAAAATAAAAATTATCGAAGTAAAAAAAAAAAAAAGTGCCCTATTTTGCAAATACAGGAACAGGCCCGGAGAGGTGTGGCGAGGGGCGCCTGAGGCTCCGGGGCAGACCTTTCTGGCCCTCCAAGGCGCCAGGGGGCCTGAACTCACTTAGCACATGGAAACACACCTGTGCTCCTGGATCAGCTCCCAGATGCTTCCCTGCATTGTAATGTCTGGCGGGTATTGTACACTCCCTACATACTCACGCTGTGCCAAGGTCTTCGTGTGCATTCATTTCATTTTACCCTTTAATGAGGCAGGGTAAAAACATGTCATTTGCAACCATCTTGCAGAAAAGGAAACTAAGGCTTAGGGTGGGGAGGAAACTTCCTGTGAGTCCCACAGCTGCCCAGTGGCGAAGCTGGGCTTTGAGATGCATCTGTCCTCTGCCACTGATACCTGTAAATTGTGTGAGGGTGATCCATTCTGGGCCCGAGGTCACATGCAGGGGTGTGTGTTTGGGGGTTTAAAGGTTCATGATACCTGGAGAGGTAGGTTGACATAAACTGTGATAGCAGAGGCCTCATGGCTACACACAAGGAAAACATGTAAAATTTCTTTCACAAACTACCTGTGTGCAATCAGCCAAGGCGCTTAACCTATTATTAAGGGAATGTGACCATTACCCTGGACTTCCCATGGGTCTTCCTGCCTCCCTGATGTATCAGACACTCAGCTTGTGGAAAGATCTGTAACCACACTAATAATAAAAGAAAGGTGAGTTAAAACAAGATACAGTTAGCAAAGACTAAAAAGAGCCAACATGCCCTATCAAGAATGGCAAAAATATAAATAAACAAAAGCTGGCACCCACTAAGTGAGTGTGTAACCAGATACAACCTTCCTGGGAAACCATGTGGCAATATGTTTCAGAGTTTTAAAAGTATATACCTTTGGACTCAGTGATTCCTATCCTGGGAATTCATCATAAGGGTAAGTGCCCAAGGATATGTGTCCAAGACAAAGCGATATAGTTTATTCAAATAGCAGCCCACTCCCACAAAAAAGGAAACAACCTGAAAGTCCATCATAGGAGGCTTAGTTAACAGAATACGGTTCAGTCATAAAATGAAATAACACCCAGCCTTTAAAGAGGACAATGTAGAGCTCTATATTTCCATGAAAAGATATTATCACACAGAAAAGATCAAATACAAAAGGCTACAGGTATATGTATTATATACATGAATTAGATCATATATGTTTTCCACATATATATATGGAAATATGTATTTATGAAACATAAACTCTTATAAGATTCGTGCTGAACTGTTCACAATTACTATTCTTGTGCGTTGGAGGGGGGAAGTGGATTTCACTTGCTATTTTTTGCTTTTTGATAGTAATCACGAATTAACAGAACAAATATTTCAATTTAGGAGCAAGGTTGGAGGGAGCCCTACAGGGTCATCTTGCTAAGGTTGGGTCATTGCCTGATTTTAAGATTCTGTCCACATAGGGAGCCAATTCTGTGCCCCATTCACATTATGGGAAGTTTTATTTGATGACAACACCAACCCTAGTCACCCCTGCTCAGACCTTCCCGATCAGCATTTAATGCATCTTATTACAATAAATCAGTCCTAGGTCTTCCTCTCGGACTCATTTGTGGACATCATAAGGGCTGGGAGCATCTTATTCATCCTCCTGTCCCCATACCCATCACGGGACGTCACAGAGGCAGTGAGCATTTCATTCATCAAACAGGTATTTCACCAGCACCCACAATGCGTTGGGTGCTGGAGATAGAGGAGTGAACAAAACAGATAAGGCCTGGCATCTGGGAGCTTATGGGGTTAAATAAATAAATGGCTCACAGGTGAGTGACCAGTGAGATGAACGAAGTCAGAGGGTAGGAAGAACTGACCTGGTGACCTTGTGAACCGATACACAAGAGGACTGGCCTGGAGCAGACAAACCAGCCCTGTCTCAGGGAAGTGGTTTTCACAATTTTTTTTTTTTTTTTTTTGTGGCAGTGGAATCTCTTTTCAGTAAACAAAATAGCGAACAGTGACACTGTTATAAACTCATGTGTAAGTTCAACTGAAAGCATTTATGGATCCTGAAATCTATATAATTTTGATGGACCAAAAAAACATTTGGGATACAACACACTTGAGGTATGCAATGACATTACTAGTTTTTCAATACTCAAAAACATAATAAAGATTAAATTCAAATAAAAGATTTACAGAACTCTGGAGTGTGAAAAACTATGGTTCTGAAAGTAAAGAGTGTTATTTCTGTTTGTTTCGTTTTGTTTTGTTTGAAGTAACAAAGGGAGTGCAACGAAACTCATTCACCCAGTAAGTATGGAGCACATTCAGTGGGTCAGACACTCTTACAGTGATTTCATCATCAATGGCCTTGAACCAAGAAATTAAGGGAGGGTAGGGGGAGGTCAGAGGAACAGCCATGATAGATAGGTAGGTAGTTGGGGGATGGGAAGGAAGGAAGGAAGGAAGGAAGGAAGGAAGGAAGGAAGGAAGGAAGGAAGGAAGGAAGGAAGGAAGGAAGGAAGGAAGGAAGACATGTCTTTGGTTTTTTAAAAATCGATTCCCAGTAGCTCACATGTCCTGAGTAATTTTTGCACAGAATGGGATGGGCCCCCCCCCACCCACCCCGCACAGGAGCTCAGTGAATGCGAATGAATGAAATGAGCTCCCGGAGCTCCCTGCCTCTTCCCTGAGCCTGGAAGTCATTCCCACCTCAAGGCGTTCTGTGGGCTCAGGTGTTATGGGATCAGGATCTCCTCCTCCCCAGATCTGCTCTGCACACACAGGCCACAGTCCGTCTTCAGACCCCGAGTGCAAATGAGTGGCATAGTGGGGGCTTCCCTGCCATTTTTGGAGGGCTATTGGGCAGGTTCTATCAAGATTCTAATTGTTCCTTTTAACCCTGTAATTGATCTTATAGGAATGAGTTTCACCCACACAAGTCCCCAAAGACGTTCATTGAAGTACTGCTTAGAATTGTTAAATGTTAGAACCAATCTAAAACTTTGTTAGCCAGCGACTGATTCAAAGTAACCGAAGGACATCCACAAAGTTGGACTCCGGGGGGGCCATTAAAATGAATGAGTCAGATCTTTATATTACTGATGTGTAAAGATGCCCACAGTCTTAATTAAGGGATCGCAGTAAACCTAGAAGCACAGAGTAGCACGATCTTATTTGTGTAGGACTACGCAAGTACAGGTTTATATACATCAAAAAACTCTTCCCAGGTGTCTGCCAAAGCTTTGACAGCTGTCAGCTCTGGGAAATAGGCACACATACTCCTGAACTGTTTGAATTTCTGTAATAACCCCAGGGCAATGTGCTGGAACCATACACGGGGAGAAACGACTTTTTAAAAATTCTGGCCTGGCTGTCAGGGGCACCTGAGCAGGATGGAGGAGTGACCCAGTTTTCAGGCCCAGCGACCACACAGCCACACTGCTCCAGCCTTGGTTTCATAGCTTGAGGTCCTAGATCCCGAACCCCAAGTAACCCTTAGGGTCCCTAATACTCTCTACACCCAGAAGAAGGGGAAACGGCACATCCTGAGGGTCGCTCATATCTCTAAGGATCTGAAAATCAGTGACCCTGCTGGGGGCCAGCAGCAGGAGCCCAGAGCAGGGTTGAGCCCCAGGAAGAGTCTGGGTTTGGAGTCCCATGGACCAAGGTTTGACACGCACCCACACCGCTTGGATCATTTCCTTGACCCCTCAGAGCTGCCATTGGCTCATCTGTAGGATGGGAGGGGAATTCCTGCTTCAGAGGGGTGAGAACTGAGATGACATACACCCCCGGCGCAGAGTGGGTCTTCCACATGGTCCTCTCAGTCCTCAGCCTTGGCCCTGAAGCACCCATGACCCAAACTCCCTCCCCCTTCTCCTCCTGAGGTTCCTGTACCTGCAGCTCAGGTCAGTCCAGCGCCGTGCACAGTGCCCCGGCCACCTGGCGATGTGGGCCCGTGGGATCCGGGGACACGGTGAGGCCAGAGACACTAGGGCCAGCCTCTCCATCTGGGTGGTGGGGAGAAGGGCAGGCTCTGCCATGAGTTCACAGGTAAGCCTCCGCGCTGCTGCTGCTGCTGCTGCTGCGGCTGCCGTGGGACTGACTCAGTCAGCAGTTGGGCAGTTCAAGCAGGAGGAAGCCTGCACGCCCAGTTCCCAGACACCCCCTCACCAGGACTGATGTCCAACCTCCTCCCAGGCGGGGCTGGCTCGGCCAGGGCCACCTACAGGCGGACACACACGCCCCTGAGCCCTGCCTACACTGTGAAGGTAAAGTGAAAATGGCACCTTTAAGAAACAGTCATAAAATATAATTTGTATCGCCACTATTATTACCTACAGCAAACTAAACCGCATTAAGAAAGTACCTGGTTAATGGGGATGGAGAAAAGCATCCATGACCTAGGGCCCGCACCCCGCCCCGCGCCCCCCCCCGCCCCCGCTTGGCCATGCCCTCTGTGCCCGTGAGCAGGTCTCCCACCTTCTCTGAGCCCTGGTCTACTCCTCTGTGAAATGCCAGGAAACAGAAAAGCAAGCCAGCTGCTGTGTGTTGAGGGTGTGAAAGGGCAGGGCGTGGCTCGGGGGGTGGGTAGGAAGGCCGCTCAGAGAGCAGGAAACGGAAGTGGCCGGATGTAGTGGTCCGGAAGAGTCTCCCTGGGAACTTTCAGCCTGGAATGTGAAGTGGTAGAGACGAGGAAGGGACATTCCTCCTGGCTGCCCGGGCTTGTGCCCTACTCCCGTATGTGTTATGGGCCAGGAGTCCCTCCCCTTGTTCTCTGGCCAGGACAGAATGTCATGATCCTCCCCCACCAGATTGCCCTGGCCCACCCTGCCTTCACCTAAAGCTCTGGGAGTCAGTGACCCTTCCGTATTTGCCTTCACACGAAGAAGGGCAGCCCCAGGGTGCTCCTCGAGGAGGCGCCCAAGTCCTCAGGTCACCCTGGTCTGCTTGGGCCTGGGGGAAGCAAGAAATGGAGCCCAATAACTGAAAATCACCCCATGGGAGCCACAGTGCCTGGGGATAGGCAGTCTTGGCACCAAAAGATGGGAGGAAGCCCACAGGACAAAGGACGCTCAGGAGCCCCAAGTCTCATGCAGCTGTTACTGGCTCTTGCGTGCAGACTGGGGCTGCAGAGATGGCTGACTGTCCACTTCCCCCAAGCCTCTTCCTGTGACTCTGGAAACGCACCCCCGGAAGGCCAAGTATCTGGGGGTCCCATTGGTGCAATGGCCCTCCCTCCCTATATATGTAAGTTGAAGGAGCAGTAAAAGTGGGTGGGAAAGTACTCTGGGAGGCACGAGAAGCTTTGTGTGGAAAACATGGTAGGTGTTTAATAAAGGTCGGATGGATGGGTGGATGGATGGGTGGATGGATGGGTGGATGGATGATGGGTGGATGGTTGATGGATAGATGGATGATGGATATGGATGGATGGATGAACGATGAATAGGTGGAAGTGTGGATGCCTGTGTACATGAATGTGTGAGCATGAGTAAATGAGTGAATGAATGAATGAATAGATGCTTGAGTAAATTAGTAAATCACTGCTTGAGTAAATGAATTTCTAGCGCAGAATAGAAAATTTATCACCTCCCTTATGTGTAGGGAACCCTTGGAAAGAAAGCAAGAGGAAGAGAGAGTAGCCTGAATTCAATAAACTGCACTTTCAAGCTTCTCTAAGGAAGCACCACTTCTTGGCTTCCTGGAGAGCCGTGTGCACTGAGAGTGAAGTGAAGTGTGTCCAGGCTCCGGGCAACATTCCTCAGCCCCGGCTGGCCAGGTCCCAGCCTTGGAGTATCGGCCAGGCCGGTTGGGTCACAGTGGAGTGACTCAGACCTGGCGGCCCTGCACCCTGGCCACCTGCCAGCACCTCGCCTGGCAGCCTGTGAGCCAGCCCACCCGCTCATTATCATCAAGAGCGTTCCATGCCCCTCAGCCCCAGGAAGCTTCTCAGGTCACGTGCTATGTGCTCAGTGTTCCCTCCCTGCCTTTCCGCCCCTCTGAGCAGCTCTCGCTCCCCATTACGGCGACGTCCTGCCCTGTGTGATGCAGTGGACACGCATAGGCCTGGGGTTCATCCTCAGCTCTGCCACTTAGGGTGTGTGACTTCAGGCAAGTGCCTTAACCTCTCTGAGTCCCAGCTCCTCATCATTTCAATGCGAACCTTACCTGCGTCCAGGGGTGGTTGTGAGGATTCAGTGGGATATTACATGCCAAGCACCCAAACTGTGTCTGGCACATGATGCACACCAAGCGTCGTTAAATCGCTCAACTTTTTTTCTTTTGGCAACAATTCATGGCACTTTATAAAGCACCAGCAAGCACTGTGCTCAGAGCTTTATGTGTTACCACATTCAGTCCTCATGGAGAGGGTGACAGGGGTAAACCATGTCCTGCCAGGACTGTATGTGGAAGTCCACCCGCCGCGACCTCAGAATGTGACATTTGGAAATAGGGTCTCAAGAGCAGTCATCAAGTTAAAATGCAGTCCTCAAGGTGGGCCCTAATCCAATGACTAGTCCTTTTAAAAGGGGACTGGGACACAGACATGTGCAGAGGGAAGATGATGTGACACAGAGAGAACCCTGTGGAGGAGCAGCCAGAGATTGGAGTGATGCAGCCACAAGTCAAGGAGGGTCAGGCGCTGGGAGAGACAAGGTCGGTTTCTTCCCGAACGGGTTCAGAGGGAGCCTGGCCCTGCCTGCGCCTTGATTCTGGGCTTCCAGCTTCTCAAACTGGAGACACGGTGTTTGTGTTGTTCTAAGCCGCTCGGTTTGTGCGTGTGTGACAGCCACAGGAAGCAAACACACAGGAGATGGGTTCCATTTTGCTGATGGTGACACGGAGGCTTGGAGGGATGGGGGTCGGGGGAGGGGCTTGCACTTGGGATTCCAGGGTTCAGGGAGGGGGAAATAAGGGCGGGCCTGAGAGATGTGCCCCTGGAAAGGGCTCCAGAGGCCATCGATGGACAGATGCTGCGTCTCTGACGGCCCCAGCCGTGCCCCGACCTTACCCTGGCGACTGTCCTCCCAGGTCCTTGAGTTCGTGGGGCCGGGGAGACATGCACACTTACTTGTTCTGAGTTGAGTCGTGTTTACTGCAAACATCGACGGCACAGCCAGTCCAGGAAGAGCCTGGGGTATTTTGTGGATCCTCAGAAACACGCCTCAGTTAAGAGTCAGAAAAACAGACCACTTCCAGGCTATGTCACTCTGGAAAAGTTACTTAACCTCTATGCCCCTAAGTGTCCCCATCGGAAAATGGAACTATGAGGTTGTTGTGAAGATCAAAGATAACAGGGGGGAAGCGTAGCACTGAGGCCGGCGCTCAGCATGGTTGCTACCACAGCGGCGTCACTCAGGCAGCTTGTCACTAGAAGGTCACCAGGTGTGTTTACCAGACACACACATACACGCCTCCTGCCTAACAGGACAAAATGCCAGGAAGGTGGCCCCAGGGCACCCCTCGGAGGGCCAGGGTCGCAGCCCCTCACTCAAAGCAAGAGGGTTCCCCCCGCCACCGCACCCACCACTGCCGTCCAGAGCTACCTGCTTGCCTGCCAGGAGCCCCAGCAGCTGTCCCGCCTGCCTTCAGCCACAGGTGCTCCCGCGGTGCCGCTGGATGCCCTCCTCTAGAGCCTGGCTGGGCCAGCTCTCCACAGGGTCTGCGCCCCCCACCCCCAGGCTTCTCTGGCTCCCCAGAGTGGGTGGGGGCGGGATAGGTGGGGAGGGGGGAGGTGTGATTTGCCTGCATTTTCTAGGTCAGCACAGGAGGCTGAACAATGGCAGACAGCCCCCAACAGCACCGGCGGGGGTGCGGGGGTGGGGCAGGGTGGTTGGAGAAAATGCCAGACAAAACCAGGGCGAAGCTTCCGCCACAGGGGAGGTTTGTTACCAAAAGTGTTTATTCAATGCCAGGAAAGCTCCCAGGAAAATGCAGCGTTGACAAAAGCTCATGAGCCAGAACAAAGCATGCGCAGAGAAAGGGGGGTGTGTGTGTATGTGTGTTAAGGGTGCACAGCGGGGCAAAGGCCAAGAGAAACAGGCCCTTTTAGGTACCCTCTTGGTGCCGCCTTTTGGTAAGACACCTTCACAACATCTGCAAACCAGCAATGCACAGAGCTTATATGCAACACTTTCTCCTTGCAGACTGTATCCCGTAGACAGAAGCATGCTTGTATGCAAAGAAGGTCAAGGGTGTTTCCTACAGCCTTGTTGGTTAAGAAGAGAACCTCACCCAGCAACTTCAGCCGGGCTCAGATCCCAACGGGTGGTGCTCTGCTCCCACGAGGAACCCGGACGTCCGCCCGCCCGGAGCCAGAGAGGCCTTTCAGCAGGGAGACTGCACGGTCCGATCTGAACTTTGGATGGACCCTTCCCACCAACAGGGCAGAAAGGGCAGAGCAGGGAGACTGGAGTCTGGGAGACCAGCTAATAAATCAGGCTCCACTCTCTCCCCTTTGGACAATTTAAAAGGCTTGCGGTGGCTGGTGGGTTGCGTGGTGAGAGAGAAAGGGGGCATGAAGGTGACACTTGGTGATTCCCAGGAGGACCGTCCCCTCTAGGATCCATCCCCCCTGCTGCCTCTGGGGTAGCCGGTGGGGGGGTGCAAGGACAGACTGGGATTTCCCCAGGAAGCCTCCCCTACATCTCCCCACAACATTCTACTCTGGAAAACAATTGGCCCAGCGGGTCAGGGTCAGGCTCTGGAGTCGCAGGGCTTAGGTTCAAATCCCACCTCCTTCATTAGGACTCAACAAATTACTTGACTACTCCGTGCCTCAGTTTCCCCATCTGTAAAACAGGAATAACCAACGACCCTACCTGATAAAATTCTTGTGAGGGTTAAAAAACAATAATGTGTATAAAGCACACAGAAAAGCGCCTGAGACACAGTATGTGCTCACTGAATGTGAACTATTCTTAAAATAACCAGGCATATGGTAGACACTGTAGATATTTATAAAGTCAATGGTATTAAAAACAATCTGAAGGCTAATCAAGGAGTGAGCTTGAAATGAAAAAAATGGAAGTTCAGAGCAGAATCCCCCAGCACAGATGGGAAGAAGGGTTGGGGGTCCCCAAATGGGGTCCAGATGGCTCAGGTCAGTGCCGGGTGGGGCCCAGGCCCCACGGCTTGTTGAATGAATGGACTTGGTCAGTCCCCGCACGTTCGTCATGGGCCCCCTGAGCTCAGGAAGCCCCCGTGTTCTTTAACAGGGACCCACACGCTGTGGCCCGGCCCTGCTGTAGGACCTCCTCCCAGTTCCTTTGGCCAACTTCTCCCTGGGTGACTACTTGTACCGTCTTCATAGACTTGGGCTCCTCCCCAGGGGCCTTGGAGAGCCTCCGGAGGCTGTGTGTCCACTGCTGGAGGGGACGAGGCAGGTGTCTCAGGGAAGCACCTCACTCGCCAACATCCTCTTTCCTCCCCAGCAAGCCTGTCCCATCCACTTTGGCCTTTGTCACTGCACAGCTGACTCCAGGAAAACCAAGCTGGGAACAAATTGCCGGTTGCATCTAGGGATGACAATGGGATGAGAGGAAGAGAGGGACAGATATGTCATGGGAGCGGGAAGGGCTCTATATAAATGGGACAGGGTCCCTGAGCAGAGTTTGAACATCTCCTTTTCCTACCCCATTAACTGTTCACAAACAGGACAGGCCGCATAAATTAGGGGGCCCATTAAAAATGAGCATGCAGGGCTCGTGTTAAAAATTATTAAAAATTTCAAGACAGCAGCAGCAGAGCATTAAACCAACCGTGGGCTCTTCTGAACATGGGACCTTGTGGGAACACACAAGTCATACCCCGTGAAGCCGGCCTTGTACACAGAACTCTGAGTGCACGCATGTGTGTGTGTCTGGGAAAGGCCCTCGACTGTCAAGGTCGTGACCCGGAAAGGTTAAGAATCACAGTAACTGAGGGTCCCTGCTTCTCAGCCCCACCTCCTTCCTGCACTCAGACAGGCAGGGCTCCACATTGCGACCCACGGGGCAGAGTAGGGGGTTAGTGACATGTCGCAGGGGCAGCCTTCGGAGCGGGACAGGCCGCGGTGGCGGAGAGACGTGGGTGCACGAGAGGTGGAGAATGGGGTGGGACTGGACGTGGGGTGGCAGGAAAAGAGAGGCACGAGGCTGACTCCCAGGAGTCAGCTGGACTAGTCAGAGGTAGAGCTGGTCATGGAGATGGAGGTCACGTGAGGTCACGTGCTGTGTTTTGCAGTGATGGGTTCAGCAAAGGGAACAAACGGTAACCCATTCCAGCCATGAAGAGCTGTCAAGCTCAGAGGGAAGACCGAGGGGATGTCTAGGGCAGAAGGGCGCCAGGCAGAGGGGACAGCCAGGGCACGGCCCCCGGGGAGCGGTGAGGGAGGTGAGGCCAAGAAGGAAGGACAGGGGGACGTTTGTAAGGAAGTTCTTCATGACAGGGGTGGCTGGCCCTCCAACAGGAAGGTCTCCAATGCAGTGAGGCAGAAGGTTCTCTGATGTGGCCAAGATGGCGAGCTCGCCAGTGGTGGAGGGAGCCAGCCCTCCCCGTGGCAGCTGCCCCAGGCTGTGGGCCAGCTCTGAGGCTCCCCTCCCCCCAACCCCACCTCCCTAAAAGGGCCTCACCTGGCAGAACAGGCTCACTGGCCAGGTCTCTCTTCCTCTTGGCTATGGAGTGTCCTGTGCCAGCGAAACTCAGCTGGGCCTCTGCTCCAGGGATCCCAATCAAAGCGTAAATCTGAGTCATTTTCCTCTGAATCTGTGGAGAGATAACACAAGGCCTCTTGGATGGTCACATCCTGTGTCCTATCCATTATCCAAAAGGAGCCCCCTGGCCGGCCTGGGCAAGCCTGCAGGCTTGTCTGAGGCCAAGGGCCAAGGCCCAGTGATGGCACATGGGACAGCGCTGAGACCTCTAGAAGACTTGAGGGCCTCGAATGGTAACCAGGGATCAAAAAAGGTTGTTCTGTAACTGAGAAAGTTGCCATATCCACCTACTAAACAGGGAAGACCCTAGAGGCCAGCAAACGACCTACCTGTACTGGGAACAATCCAGGGGAGGCCTGGAGGAGACACAAACCCAGCTACTCATTGGCCCGCCAGTCCATTCATTAGTAAATATCTGAGTGTGTACATACAATGGTTTCTGCTGCAGCACCGTTTTGTGGTAAAACATACACAAACAGTAAAACACCCTAGAAACCACATGCATGCACGTCTATCAGTGAGGTTTCTGGCTGACTAAGTGTGGCACAGTCACACCTCACAGAGACCTGGCCCATCCATCCAATGGAATGTCAGAACGCTACTAAAACAACTACATAGGTCTTTCCACTTATAGGACGTCTATGATGTGTTACAAGCAAGCTGTAGAGAAATGTATATGGTAGAACCTCTTTTTTTAAAATAAGAAAACAATGAACATGCCCTCCTTTTTTTTTTTTTTTTTTTAATGTATAGGTATCATTAATTAGGTGCATGAGCTCACTAACATGGTTAATGTAAGGTAAGAAAGGAGGGGGAACAGAGGAGGTCTATCCTTTTTCTTCCTACATATACTCTTATTTTACTGGCTGCAAGAAGTAAAGGAGGCTGGAGAAAACCCTTGGATTGTAGACCAAGAGCCGAAGACAGAAAAGACTGAGCTTCGATGTCCTCATCTGTAAAATGGGCACAACAGCCTTGTCTATAATGAGGGTTAACTGAAATAAGACATGTAAAATGGGCATTCGACAACGTTGACAGTTATGAGTTAAAAAATCAGCATAGTGGCTTGAGGTGACTGTTTTTCACTAGACATGGTGACTGTTTTCTGACCACATACTATGTGCCACGTCTTACATGTATGTTCTCATTTAATCCGAACAACTTCTTGGGGCAATGGCCTAGGTTGCTCATATTCTACAAAGAGGAAGGCTCTGAAAGGGGATGTCCAGCCCCCAGCCAGGAAGTGCTCAGCTGGGCTGGACTCAAACCTCCCTCCCGCTCCAGTCCTGTGAGCTTCCCCCTGGGTACGGCTGTTTGAGGTCAGGGACTTCAAAGGGAGCTTCGGAATTAACAACTCGCTCCAAGGACCAACCAGAGGGGCGGCCAGGGCCCTCAACAGGCATAGCCCATGGTGCCCGCTTCTGCTTCAGCCCTAAATCCATTTCTTTGGAAGTTTCCTCCTTTCTGCAAATTCCCTTCAAATCACAAAAGAAATGTCCTCAGCAGAGCATTTTCATCTTGAAGGGCACATCAGGCTTTGTCCCCTCTCCCTCTACCATGGCAGGGGATTAATGCTGTCCCTATGGCTCAGCTGTCCACAATCACTTCTTGTGCCCCAGTCTCACCAGGGAGCTTCCTTTTCTACCCACTCTCTCCTCTCGCAACCTGGGAAATTGCCTCCTCATTGGCCACGTTGGCCACATTGGCCACGTTGGCCGCGTTGGTCGCATGGCGGGCTGCTCAGCCCTCTGCCTCCTAGGCCGGGAAACTGCCCTGCGGAGCCTGCCAGGCAGACAGCGTGGGGAGGGGGAATCAGAGCTACTCTTGCCCGCTTTTCACTGGATTCCAGGCCAAACCGACTCCAATAAAAAGATCCACAGTGGCTAGAAAACCACACGCTAGGGTGTTGCAAGCTCCAGTCCCCCAGACCCTGGATTTGGGTCAGTTCCCGGCACAAGGATGGAACAGACGCAATAATCCTGAGAGTGCCCAGAAGACAGGGACCCTGAAGGAGGGACACCCCATCACTTTAGGGATTTCTGTTCATCACGAAATTAACAAAAGCACTTATTTCTTAGTGGTACGTGAGGAGTCAGTGGGTCAACAGCCTCCAGGCGAAAGCGCAAGAAGGGGTGGGCAGGGCAGGCTGTGGGGGGCTTAGAGCAGGGCCTCCAGGGAGAATGAGTCACCGGCAGGGGTGAGTGCCTTAGACCTCAGGGCAGGCGTCCCTCCCCCTTCCAGAGAAGCCATCCAAAGCCGCTCCTACGCTCCGCCTACCTTGACAAAACCACGCTGACTAGATTCTCTCTCAGCCTGCAAGCACCTACTATGTGCCATGTGTGTACACACACTACGTGCTCTGCCCTTCATGTGCAGCTCTCTAAAAGGGCAGGGACCATTATCATCTCCATTTTGTAGATGAGAAAACTAAGGCTCAGGGGGCACTTGTCCAAAGTCGCACAGCTGGTAGGTGCCAGGGCCAGGATCTGACACAAGACAGTGGGCCCGCTTAAGTATTCCACAGGTGCGTGACCCCGGGCGGGTTTCTCCTCCTCTCCAAGCCTGTTTCCTCAACTGCACAGTAAGGATTGCTTCACAGGGTTATTCTGAGGGCTAAATGAAATAATACACATCAAGTATTGAACACAAGTCCTCGTACCAACACAGTGTTTAAAAAGACTTAGCTGTTATTATGAACTATGAAGGGGCAAGGCTGAAAGCTGGGCCCACGTCCCCTGGACTCCAGGCAGCTCGCCTTTATAGCCACTGCACAGACAAATGCTCCGACGTCCACCAGCCACCGGCTTGGTGCCGAAGATGTGCTCCTCAGGGAGGGCTGTGGTCCACCCTGGAAATGAGGAGATCGCATTTTAAACGCTTTCTAAAAGCTCTCACTAGGCCCTGGCTGGTGTGGCTCAACAGACTGAGCATTGGCCTGTAAACCAAAAGGTCAGCAGTTCGAGTCCTGGTCAGGGCACAAGCCCGGGTTATGGGCCAGGTCCCAGGTTGGGGGCATGTGAGAAGCAACTGGTCAATGTATCTCTCACATGGATGTTTCTCTCCCTCTCTTTCTCCTTTTCTTCCCCTCTCTCTAAAAATATATAAATAAAATATTTATATAATGTTATTATTTATATAATAAAATATTATTATAAAAATAATAAATGAATAAAAGCTCTCCCCAGGAACTTCCCATAATTACACCATGACCAGCCCCCACATTTGAAGTCATGGGGCGGGTTAGTGGGTGAACTGCTCACCCCGTCTTAACGCCCTGTCACCAGAGGTGGCAGCACACTCAGTGCCCTCCCCACCTGCCCAGTTGGCCAAAGTTTATGGGGCTGAGGAGCAGGGGGTGGGAGGACAAGCTAACCGCAGGCAGAGGACCAGGGGCACAGGACGCCTGATGAGCAGAGTGTCATTCCTGCCACGTAGCCACGGCTGCATCCCTGCCCACTGGCCCCCAACTTCCCAATGGCCAGCGCCACGCCGCATGCTGAGCCAGGATGGACGTCAGCCCGCTTCAGCGATCCTGCGTCCCAGAGAAACCCAGGTCCTCCCTGATGTGCGGTCTGGGCAGAGAAGGGTGAGCGGGTCCTCGGGCACCTGATCAATGCCGAAGGCTGCCATCCCCCACTGGGCAAGCTGTTTACCACACAAAAGCCCTGAGCTGAGGGCGTCAGAGAAACTGAAATCCCGCCCATCCTCTGCTCACTGAGCCTTGTGGCCTGGCTGCATTCACAGAAAGGGGCACCTTTTCCCAATTCACCTGCCCGGAGGGGCCACCGCTTTCCAGGAGCCAGTGCTAGCACCGATGACCTTATGTGCAGGCAATGGCCCTGAGGGGACACAGGCACGCACACTAATCTGCTTCCCAGTCAAGCTTGGGGATTCACTCTTGGCCTCTAGGTTAAGAAACTCTAAACCACCCAGGAAGTGCTTTTCTCTTCCAGATGACCACTTGGCAGATGAGCCTGCAGCGAAAACGCCCAGAGGAAGCCCTGCTCTGCACTGGTTTCAGGACCCCCTGCCCAGCTCCAGGGTTAGGGCCCAGCCTGGACAGCTCACCTTGGCTAAGCAAGAAGCGAAACCAGACGATCAACAAGAACAACAGCAGGGCCACGGGCAGGCCGAGCCAGAACACCAGGAAAGAAAATGTGAGGTCGTTGACCAGCGGCACCAGAGGGTACTTCATGGTGTGTGTGTGGCTAAGCCGGGCCAGCCTGAGCTCAGCTGACCGAGCTGCCCTGGGGATCTGGTGGGCTGGGCCACACTCTGCTCTCAAACCAATTGTGACTGAGCTGGTGATGTCGTAACAAGGAAGTCACAGTGTCCTTCAGGCCAAGGGAGGGCTGTTTCGGATGAATGGTCAGGAGCTGGGGCAGTGAGAATAAAGCCCAGGCTGTATGAAGTCCAAGCGGGCCTGGGTGTGAACCGCCCTAAGTTGCTGTTGGGTTGATGTGCCGTCTCCCTGATCCTCCTGCAGGATGGAAATAATTCTCACCTCCCCCAGCTGCTGAAAGTTAGAAAAGTAAGTGCTGGGATGAGCCTTGCACCCAGCGGGTAGGGGAGTGGTCACGTATTTGAGGTCACAGATTCTTCCAGGAGTGAGCCGGGTCCCCAGTCCCAAAATTCCAGCTCCATGTGCCCACGTTTACACTTTGTGGGAGTGGCGGGGACTGTGTAAACCGGATGGAGCGTGGTACCTCTAAAGCTGGCAGCTGTCACAGCTCCAGCCAGTAACTAATGTGTGGCCAACGCAGGATCAGTGCAGCCAGCTCCCCTGACTTCCAAGAGAGCCAAAACATTGGAATTTTTATGTGCAGTCTCCCAATTTAAAAATATTGAATCAAACATTAAAATACTGTTGGCTAAAGGAAACAAGTCTAGTGGGCCAGGTTGGGTCACTGCCATTTAAAAGCTTTCTGACACATAGTAGGCCCCCGGCAAATGATTATTATTTAATCTGGAAGCTTTGGTATCTCTCGTTATTAGGGTTTTCAGTGAAGGGCTTCTAAGGCTTTAACCTTCTTCCTGTGTCTCCTAAGCGGGCAGAATACTCCCAAATGCCATTCTTATCTCCTCCCACCTCACCTCTCGTTCATTTGTTCATTCATTCATTCGTTGATTCATGAAGTAGTTAGTAAACCTCCACATGCCAGGCCCTGTGGCAGGAAGGGGGCTCTGCACGTCCCAGTGCTCGGCAGCCTCCGAGCGGGGGCCTGACGGGTGTGGGAGGTCAACGCGAGTGGCTGCTGCTTGTGGAGGGAGGAAGCATGGTATGATCCACAGGGGTCCTCGGCCCATCTGCCTCAGTCACTGACAGAAGGGGGGAGGGGGTACTTAGGAAACATGGCAATTTCCATGCCCACCCTGTTCTAAGTCAGAACCTCCGGGGGATGGGGCTTGGAACTCAGCACATTAATAATGCGCAAGCCGTCTGATGCAGACTTGATTTTGAGACGAGTGCAGGTTGGGAAGCTGGCAGACCCAGTCCCAGGCTAGGGCAGCAGCTGCATGAAGTGGGTGGTAGACCTCGAGGGAGACATGGGGTGGAAGGACCCCCTTCCTGGGAAGCCACCAGCCTGGGAGAAGGGCAGGTGGGGCCAGCCGCAGTACACGTAAGGGACAAGAGGGGAGAGCTGGCGCTTGAAGAGTGTGTTTAGAGGGAGTCTCAGCCCCCACTGTGGCATGACCAGAGTCCCTAGAAGAGGAGGTCTGGGCTGGTGGTATTAGAATGTGCATCCAAGAAGCGCAGTGCCCTGGTGTGCCGTGCCACTCAAGGCCTGGAGGCCCGGAGGCCAAGGCCAGAAGCTATGTGGCCTGGATGGGGGGTGATTTCTTGGCACTGGGTCCTGAAGGGCCTGGGGTCAGAAAGAGTGAACAGCACAGGTGGAAAAGGCTTGAACACATATTTCCTTGCCAAGTCCCCAAACTGGACGGACCACTGTGCCATCAGCCCAGGGAGAAGCTCTTCCTGGCCACCAGAGCCCACCGGAGGGCCTGTGGTGGGCAGGCAGAGCAGGTGCTGACACGCAGCTGCAGGGGACGCAGGGGACGCAGCTCCCAGGCGCCGTTCAGGGGGCTGCACACTAACTTCACGTGGAATCAGTGCCAGGCTGGAGAGGGCGGCTCTCGGCAAAGCCACCCATCGCTGTCTCAAGTGGTAGTCATCTGCCATAGGTCATCTAGGCATTAAGGTGCCTATCTGGTCCCATGGAACCTGCGCAGCCCACCCTGCTCTAAGGGCGAGTCGGGGGCGACCTCCCCTGCATTCCTCCCCTTTCCAGACTGGCCGGCCTGGCAAAGCTCAGCTCCCGGCAGGCACAGAGCACAGTGGGCGTTGCTGAGCTCCCTTGGCGACCACTGCCTCTGTTGGCAGTGCTTCCGTTACACAAGCTCCTGCCAGCATGGGATGCCAGACAGGTTTACGTATTTGGAGTACATGATGAAACTTTACAAAGCCAGGGCAAACCCACAGCTCCAAGTTATGGAGGGCAGCCGAAGCAGAACAGAGCCCCCTGGAAAGAGTAAACCAGGAACACACACAGGAGCCAAAGCCGCAGCCTGGGACCAAAAGCATACACGACGTTAAGCAGATAAGAATCTCCTTAAAATTTAATTGACTAAATGTATTACATTCAATATTCCATGGGTTTCTTCTGGACAAAGGGTCGGCATAAATACAAACAAGCCTCTGGGCCTTCTTCCCTAACCAACGAAAACACAGGAGGCGAGGGGACACGGGGACACCTTCATATTTACATTTTGCCTTTACTTTACAGTTCAGTGCCAGAAATATTTACAGAAAATACAATAAGAAAAAGATCATGTCTTGGCAACATACCGAAATTCATACAAATTGTATATATGACTTCAAGCAAATAATGATACTGCTTATTTTTTAGCCACAACTGCCAAGCCCTTCGGAGGAGAAAGATGTTCTTGGTCACTGCAAGAGACAAGGACTTGGGAAACTTGGTTTGCTTCAACAAATATTTATTGGGCGCCTACTATATGCAAGGCACTGTGGAATCCCAAATTTTACCTTTTCCCTCACCATTAAAAAAAGAGAAAAGCATCTGGAGAACATGAGTTGCAACTCTGAGAAAAACACTATACAGTACATGGCTTCTTTAGCTACCGAGAACGCCGTCTGACTCCACGCGGAGCGGGTGGACCACCTCCAATCTCTCTCTCTCAGGAAAAGAGGCTGTCATGGAAATCCTAAAACAGACCACCTAATGCAACTGATCATTTCATGTAAACATAGAAATCAACTCTTTTTAGGAAGCTGTAACCTGAATGGCTTTTCAAATGCTGAACGGAGAACTTCTGCCAGCAAGAGCGTCGAATGACCTCTGTGACACTTTTCACTGACTGCCGCATGTGCCCTGGTGCAAGGCTGACTCCCACTTTGGGTAATGTCCCGCCTTCCAGTAGAAATAGATACTCTTGAAGAGTCTGCCTCTCTAAATAGTGGCCTGCAGAACCTGACAAATATTTCCTTAGTGTCTGCAGAAGTAGCCATTCGTGAAGACCTCACGACATCACTGCCAGATACAGGTTTTTGTGTTTGAGTCCAGAGGAGAATGGGCTGCCCTGAAATAGAGGACCTGGGAATGGAGGACGGGGGGGTGGGCGTGTGTGTGTTGGGGGTGTGTGTGTGTGTGTAGGGCCGCTGGGCAGGAAGTGGGGAGGGGACTTAGGAGGAAGCACTGGACAAAAGGGGGAGTTGGCTGAACAAGGAAAGGGTTAAAAAGGCAAAAGCCCTGTCCCTGTCTTCAGTGCCCCCAGTGAGAGGAGGAGGAAAGCCCCATCCACCAAGTGTGAGCTAGATGGAGGGACTGTCTGCCTGTCCCTTGGGTAACGCTTTCCTTGTCACTGAATGTCATGTTCATCCACCTCCCAGTGCACTTGTCACACGCACGAACTAAACTGTTTAAGCCACAGATCCGAGCGGTCCCAGCTCCCCACAAAGGTTATGAACACATGCTGGCAAACTTAACTAGTGGACTTCTAAAAATTGTTACTAGAAATTAAATATGCTCTTCTGCATTAATTCTACTCAAAGTGACTTTTAACAAAGGCAGCTGGGTGAACTTGGGGACCGTGACCTCAAATCTGTAATACTAATGAAAGGTACAAGGGTTCTCACCACACTTCCTTCGTAGACAGATGTTACACTGAGCAGAAGGAACCAGCACCTGACGAGGTCTGTGTACCCCGTACTGTCTGCACCTTCCATACTGGGGCTTCGTGCCTTGGGGGCTGCACAGTCCTGAATCCATCCCTCCTTCCCGGGGAGACCACCAAGTCTTTCAGATCACAAATCTCATTCAACACGGTTGTTTGCCTACCGGAGACATTCGAATTACAAAGACTTGCCAGAAATTACAGCAAACTGAAGGATCAGGAAGCCCAGCCCCCAACATGTACACCATAGGACATTTTGCTGACAGTAAAACTAAGCCAAAGGTAAAAGTTTTATCTGAAAAGTCACATGGAGGAAGTACACCTACATCAGCTATTTTTAACCTCTGCAATGTTATAAGCTGCACATCAATTTATAGCCTTCCTTGTTCACAACCACTAGAATTTAAGGGCCCATTTGTCCCTTGAACCATCCATCCGGAACTTCCATGACAGTTGTGAAACTTCACTTTATACCTGCTGAGCTACTACAACATTTTTAGGCTACAACTTCCTAAACTTCATCAGCATACATACACTTCCCCCATGCTACCATCTGGAAACATCAATTTATTGCCCATTTTATAAAGAAAATCAATTACTGAATAACATATCCTGAATGGAAACTGGAGTCATAGAAGGTGGAGGTTATGTTTACCTGAGCTTAAAACAAACATGAAGAAAAAATTACAGCAAACTTAAAACCAAGAGTCACTATGCCCACATTTCTTGCTCAAAGATGACAAAATACATACTTCTGGAACAAAAATATCTATCTGCACATGGAATTAGGCCCTACACACTATCCCCCACCCCCTAATTAAACTAACAAAACATCAAACAGACCATTGTAGCTCTGACCTACAGAATCTACTGACATCAGAGTTCAAGTGTGAAATCACCTCTTATACAACTGTGATCATTCTTCTTTGGACTTTAAATGTTCACTTATTTTTGTAACATAAAATGATCTTAATAAAGAAGAAAGCACGTAAGAATAGGAGAAATGAGCATTGTCTAC